AAGAGCAGAACCATAGAAATGAAGATCACATGGAGGGTTAGCAACAGCAGAGTTTGAGGAGGAGAAGGAAGGAGAAGGTACAGAAAATAAGTAGCATATATGGTAGGTAAAAACTAGCTAGGGGGGAGGGCAAGAATAGTAGGGCAAATATAGAATCTAAAGAACTTGAGACACGTGGTCATAAACTAAAGGGGGGGGGAATGGTGAAGCGAATGTGCAGGGTGGAGAAATATGAAGGGGGAAATAGAGCAACTGTAATGGCATAATCAATAAAATATATTTTTTTAAAAAAACCTCTCCAGACAGCCTGCCTCTCAGCCCAGCGCAATCCCCAGCCAGACTGGTGACAACAATGGGCCTCTCAATTCTCCTGGGCTGGAGACAACAAAGTCTGCAATTGTACATGGCCCTTTGTCTTTGTGGCCCTCTGTCTTTGTAGCCCTCCCTGGAATCTGAAACAGACAGGTCTCTACCCAGTATTGCCCAGCCTTGCTTAGAGGTGGAGGGAGCTGCTAACCCATATTGGTCACCTACCGAGGCTGCTGGGTGCCCAGGATCCTATGGCAGATGCCTCTGGCACTGGTCTCAGGTGGATGCCTCTGGACCCTGACCATGGAGGCAGCACCAGGGCCATCCTACTCTATCGCCATCTTCCCTTCTCTCTGCCTATGTTTCAGTTTTCTTTATGAATGATGAGCACAGCCAGCAGAAAACTGTACTTGAACAACAATAAACAAATAAATAAAGTAACTTGGAAAAAGGGAAAAATAAATGATATATAAAGCCTTTTATTAAAAAGGTTTGAATTCACAGATTATAACATAAAGATAACTAAAAGATAAAAGTTAAAGTTAAAAAATTATTTGTACCTATTTTTAGGTATATTTTATTTCAAATTTTGATAAGAAACCATGTAAATAAAAATCTACCTTCCAAACTATATGCAATAGAACTATTAATGCATATGAAATATATTCATTTAATTATGCATCTGAATTCTGGAAACTTCCATCTCGCAGAAATGTGGTAATATTCATTAAACAGCCACTTCCTCATTTTCTGTAAAACCAAGGCCCAAGTAATTACCCTTTCTCTTCTCTGAGTTGGAAACCATCAGAACTCACCTAAGTGGAAGCCTGTAGCATGTGTCTTTGTGACTCTTGTGCTTCACTTAGAACATGTTGTAGTTGGCTTTTGGTATCAGGTGAGAACATATTTTCTATTTCCTGGCAGAGCAGTAATTCCATATATATATATATATATATTCCTTGTGTGTGTATATATATATTCCTTATATATATATTCTATATATATATTCCTTGTGTGTGTATATATATATTCCTTATATATATTATATATATATAATATATATACACTACACTTTCATGATATTTTAAAAAGTTTTATTCATTTTTTTAGAGAGAGAGGTGGAGTTGAAGAAAGTGAGGGAAATTCCAATGTGTATTTGCGTTTCACTTGCCCCCAACTGGGGACCTGGCCAGCTATTCAGGTATGACCCCTGACTTAGTATTGAACTAAGAACTCTTTTGTTTCTCAAAGAGAAGTTTCTCAAAGAGAAGTGTTTGGATGCTGACCTTTCCAATAGAGGCTTCATGTTCCTTGAATATGTATATTCCTTAATTATTATCCCTTCAATGTCCATTTTGTAAAAGACCTAACATGTAGAGCTATTTTAGACACAAACTTTTTAAAGTTTAACTTATTTTAATTGTTGTTCAAGTAGAGTTTTCTATCCTTTATTCTTACCCAAAACCCCCCCAGTGCTCCCCACATTCCTCCAATTTCTACCCCCGCCCAGTTGTTGTCCATGTGTCTTTTATACTTGTTCCTGTAAATCCTTTCCCTTTTCACATAAAATTTCCTACTTGTCCACTCTGGTCCCTGTCAGGCTATTCTCTATTTCAGTGTTTTGGTTATATTTTGCTTGCTTGGTTTTTTCCCCCTCTAAGTTTAAGTTAAAGGTGAGAGCATGTCGTATTTGTCTTTCACTGCCTGGCTTATTTCATTCAGCATAATGCTTTCCAGTTCCATCCACGTTGTTGCAAAGGGTAGGAACTCCTTGTTTCCTTCTGCTGCATAGAATTTTATTGTGGCAATGTAGCATAGTTTTGGGATACATTCATTTATTGATGGGTATCTATGTTACTTCCAGCACTTGGACATTGTAAATTGTCCTGCTATGAACATTGGGGTTCATAGATTCTTTTTGATGGGCGTTTCTGGATTCTTAGAATAAAATCCTAGCAGTGGAATTGCTGGGTCAATAGGCAGATCCATTTTTACTTTTCTTAGAAAATCTCATACTGTTTTCTATACTGGTTGTCCCAGTCTGCAATTCCACCAACAGTGAACTAGGATGCCCTTTTCTCCACAACCTCTCTAACACTTGTTGTTTGTTGCTTTGTTTATGATGGCCATCCTGACCAGTTTAAGTGGTATCGCATTGTGGTTTGAATTTGCATCTTTCTGATAGCTAGCAATACTCAGCATCTATTCATCTGTCTCTTGATTCTCTGTATGTCCTCCTGGAGAAGTGTTTGTTCAACTTTCTGGCCCACTTTTTAATTGGGCTGCTTTTCTTAGAGTGGAGTCGTGTAATTCTTTGTATATTTTGGAGATTAAACTCTTGTCTGAAGTATCATTGGCAAATATGTTTTCCCATACAGTTGGTTCTTTTTTTATTTTAATACTGTTTCCTTTAGCTATGCAGAAGCTTTTTAGTTTGATGAGATCCCATTTGTTTATTCTTTCCTTTATGTCCCTTGTTCTACAAGTCATATTGATAAATATGTTGCTGTATGAAATATCTGAGATTTTCCTGCCTATTTATTCCTTTAGCACTTTACCGCTTATATTTAAGTCTTTTCTCCACCCTGAAATTATTTTACTGTATGGTGTAGGTGATGCTCTAATTTAATTTTTTTTTAATGTAGGTGTCCAGTTTTCCCAACCCCATTTGTTGAGGAGACCATTTTTACTCCATTTTATGTTGCTGCCCCTTTGTCAAGTATTAATTGCCTGTAGAAACTTGGGTTTATTTCTGGGCTCTCTGTTCTGTTCCACTGATCTATGTGCCTGGTTTTATGCCAGTACCAGGCTGTTGTTTTTTTTTTTTACAATGGCCTTGTAACACAGTTTCTTATCAGGTATTGTGATCCCTCCTTCTTTGCTCTTCTTTCTCAAAATTTCCACTGCTATTTGGGGTTGTTCATGGTTTCATATAAATTTTTGAGGTGTTTGTTCTATGTCTGTAAAATATATCATTTGTACTTTAATAGGTATTGCATAGAATCTGTAAATTGCTTTGGGTAGTATGAACATTTTGATAATGTTAATTCTTCCAATCCATGAACAATGTCTGTGTTCCCATTTGTTTGTGTCTTCCTCAATTTCTTTGTTCAGTGTTTTAGTTTTCTGCATGCAGCTCTTTTACCTTGTTGCTTAGGTACTCCTAGGTTTTTATTTATATAGAATGGGATTCCTTTCTTGATTTCTGCTTCTACTGATTTATTGTTGCTATATAAAAATGCCTTTGAAATTTACAAATTCAATACAATACCTTAAAGAACCAATGGCACATTTCATATAAAATATTTCTATTTTTCATATTTCATATTTTCATATAAAATTGAGTATCATGTAATCAGTTCATTTAGTGAATTATGAGCTATTTGAGTGGCTCAGTTAGTTGCGCATCATGCCTGAAAACCAAGGTCACTAGTTTACTTCTGAGAAAAGGAACAACCCTGGATTGTGGGCCTAGGACCTTGTTGTGGACATAAATGGGCAACCACTTGATATTTCTTTATTTTAAAGAAAAATAAATAAATAAAATGCATTCGTATAAAATGTATTTTTAACTTTGAGTATTTTGTTTTTCATCTTTCCATTCTCTGTTTAGTGTATTTTTTAATTTTCTTTCTTTTCATTTTATTTTGGTCATTCACGAATTCGGTGGTATTAAGTAGATGTCATATTTTCCTATGTTTCTATTTCCAGGTTGGTATTTTCAGTTCTTTATCCAATAATTAAAATATTTCAATATAGGTAGTGTCAGTTCTTGTAGATGCACATTTTTAAAATTTATTTCAGAAAGAGGGGAAGGGAGAGAGTGGAATATCAACGTGTAGTTGCCTCTCCCCTGTTCCCTATTAAGGACCTGAACTGGATGGAAACCCAGGCATGTACCCTGACTGGGAATAGAACAAGCAACCCTTTGGCTTGTAGACAAGTGCTCCATCCACTGAGCCACACCAGCAAGGGCTAGTTCTTGTAGATGGACTTCAGTTTTCAGATTTGACCTTGATTCTTCGTTTTCTGTCTTGATAAATTTGTTTAGGTTCTGAACTGTAAACAACCAGGTATAATAAACTTGCTTTCTCCAGGTTAAGAGAAAACTAAATGACATTCATCCCTAGCATAATTTCTAATTTCTGAAAACACAGGGGGATATTTGCTCTTGAGTATTTTGGGGTTGCAAGTTTTAAATAATGTCTGTTTTTTTTTTCATAGCCCATGTCTTCTTATGCTTGATATTGGTCTTCAGTCTACTGGTCTCCATTATTTCAACTATTACCCCTTCTGTTTTGTGTGTACCATAAGGTGTTCATTGTGTGCTGTTATGGCCTGAGCACTGTATGCCTGCAAAACAGAAACACATATTTTGAAAATGCAGGAAATCAGTGAGATCATTGAATACACAGGACCCTCTGTCTGTGTAGAAAGCAATGAGAATGTGGAGTTTCTTTAATTCTATTTCCATTGTTTCCCAAGACAGAGGAGCACAGTGGTTTACAAGTGAAAGTTCCCATTATTTCCCATTTGTATGACTTTTACTCATTGTACCACACTTTGTTCTCCTGCAAGTATTTAGGTTTTTTGAAGTACTCAACAATGTGATTTGTTTAAAAATTTCTTGTCAGGTCGATGTACATTCACCTGTGTGTCATACCTGTGAAACTTTCTTTTGTGTCTTTCAGCTTTGTCATCTACAGAAAACCAGTACTTCTTGGAAATGTCAAGAATAGAAGATCTACTTTTTGAACAAACACTGGTAAGATATGAGAGCTGTGTCTTTGATACTGATAAGGAAGTTTATGACAAGAAAGAAAGGATGCATAAATGGAGGAAACTAACTTTAAAAAACTATTCATGAAAAATTGTTGTCACTACAGATGTGTACAATATTACAAATTTGGGGAAACTTCCACTTTAAATCAGTTAACTTTACAGACCAATGTATTTCCAATTTGAAAGATTGAAAACAACAGTCTAAGTGTACGTATTCTTCTAAAGCATAGGTGGCAAACAAAAAACCTCCAGGGCAACTCTGACCCTCAACCTTCTTTTATCCAACTCAGAACCTGTTCCTTCCTGGAGGCAGCGCCAAACTCCTTATACCTTGATAAGGAGTAGTAAAATTTACATGGTCCTAAAATTACATGTACCCCACTGCACGCCACTCTCATGCTGATGTGGTGCCTGGTGGTAAGGAGGTAGACACTCCTGTTGTAAAGGCAGTATAAAAAATCTACAAACTCTCATAATTTGTGGTGTGAGTATTCATATGAGTTGTTTAAAATGTGGAGTGGGAATAACTTTTCAGTCAATAATTTTTACAATGTAGTCTTTAGAATTTATGTAGAAAGCTTAAATGGGATCAATTTGACATTCCCTTTCTTCAGGAAATGCTGTACTTTTATAGAAATAATATTTTCTTTATTCCACTGGATAATATTTTCTTGAAATTGAGCATGATGTTTAATACAACCAACATGGTTTTATAGGGCTCACAGAATGGTTTTCAGGAATAAGAGCACATGCTTAGTGAAATTATAGATGTCACTAAAGGCCTTTCTGTGTTCAATGTTTACCAGGGTGTGTGTGATGAGGACAAAAGTAGTCAATGCACTGAACATTGGAAGAATTTTACCCATGAGTCAAATCTTACCCTCCAACCAAAGAGTCAGCTTCCAGCCAGCCATTATGAAGCTGGGAAAGTCTTTGACCAAACGTTAAATCACAATACTCATCGTATTTTTTCTATTAAGGGGAAGATAAACAAGCAAAGTGAAAATATCAAATGCTTAAAGCAATCTTCAAATAGCACTGAAGAAACAAATACTGATCTCAGGAAGAAAGTTCACAAATGTTTTCCATGCAGCAAATTCTTCAATCAAATATCAAATCTAAATACCTTTATCAAAAAAGGTCCAAGCAAAGAACATAAATGTGAAGATTGTGGTAAAACAGGTCACTGGTTCTCAGGTGTAACTCTACATAAAAAATTTTATCCTGTTCAGAAGCCTGAAATTTGTAAAGAATGTGGCAAATTATTTTTGATTACATCAGGCCTTTCTAATTATCACACACTTCACATGGGACACAACCATGATAAATGTAGAGAATGTGATAAAGCCTTTAGCCAGTCCTCAAACGTTAATGATCATCAGAAAATTCATATGGGAGAGAAGCCTTATAAATGTACACAATGTGGCAAAACCTTTCAGGACCTGTTGACACTTACTCAACATCAGAAAATTCATACTGGAGAGAAACCTTATGAATGTGCACAATGTGGCAAAGTCTTTAGGCGGCATTCAACACTTACTCGACATCACAGAATTCATACTGGAGAAAAGCCTTATGAATGTGCACAATGTGGCAAACCCTTTAGGCAGCAGTCAGCACTTATTCAACATCAGAAAATTCATACTGGAGAGAAACCTTATGAATGTGCACAATGTGGCAAAGTCTTTAGGCGGCATTCAACACTTACTCAACATCAGAGAATTCATACTGGAGAGAAGCCTTATGAATGTGCACAATGTGGCAAACCCTTTAGGCAGCAGTCAGCACTTATTCAACATCAGAAAATTCATACTGGAGAGAAGCCTTATGAATGCACACAATGTGGCAAAGTCTTTAGGGAAACTTCAAAACTTACTCGACATCAGAGAATTCATACTGGAGAGAAGCCTTATGAATGTGCACAATGTGGCAAACCCTTTAGGCAGCATTCAGCACTTATTCAACATCAGAAAATTCATACTGGAGAGAAGCCTTATGAATGCACACAATGTGGCAAAGTCTTTAGGGAAACTTCAACACTTACTCGACATCACAGAATTCATACTGGAGAGAAGCCTTATGAATGTGCACAATGTGGCAAACCCTTTAGGCGAACTTCAACACTTACTCAACATCAGAAAATTCATACTGGAGAGAAACCTTATGAATGTGCACAATGTGGCAAAGTCTTTAGGCAGCATTCAACACTTACTCGACATCACAGAATTCATACTGGAGAGAAGCCTTATGAATTTACACAATGTGGTAAAGCCTTTAGGCAAACTTCAACCCTTACTCAACATCAGAAAATTCATACTGGAATGAAGCCTTATGAAGGTACCCAATGAGGCAAAACCTTTAGGAACCTGTCTACACTTTCTCAACATCAGAAAATTCATACTGGAGAGAAGTCTTATGTGTGTTCACAATGTGGCAAAGGCTTTAAGCAGCAGTCAACGCTTACTGAACATCAGAGAATTCATATTTGAGAGGAGCCTTATGAGTGTACTCAATGCAGCATAGCCTTTCGCCAGAACTCACACCTGTTTCAACATCTGAAAATTCATACTGGACTGAAGACATTTGAATGTAATCAATGAAGCAAACCCTTTATCAAGACTTCAACTCTTATTCAACATCAGAAAATTCATAGTGGAGAGAAGCCTTATGCATGCACAAATTGTGGCAAAACCTTTAGGCAAAGTGCAACCCTTACTCAACATCAGAAAACTCATACTGGAGAGAAGCTTCATGAATTTATTGAATGTGGCAAAGCCCTTAGGCAGTGGTCAACACTTACTCAACATCAGGAAATTTATACTGGAGTGAAACCTTATGCATGTACTGAAGATGGCAAAGCCTTTAGTCAGACATCACAGCTGAATCAATATCTGAAAATTTATACTGAAAAGTTGCCTTATCAATATACACAGTGTTGCAAAATCTTAAAAGATGTGTCAACACTTACTAAACATCAGAAATTCATACTGGAGAATAGTCTAATAAATGTGTACATGTGCTAAAGCATTTCTACAGTCCTTAATCCTTACTCTACATCAGAGAGCTCATATTGGTGAAAAGCCTCATATATGTAAAATATGTGGTATACACTTTAACATGATCTGTAACCTTTCTGAGCCTCAGAAATTTTATGTGAAGGAGAAACCTTGTAACAACTGTTGAGCAAGTGATAAAGTATTTTTACAATTCTCAAACCTTACTCAACATCAAGTAATTTACACAGGAGAAATGCCTTACACATGTACTTTATTTGCAAAAGGCATTAGTCAATCCTCAAAGCTAATTCATCATGAAATATATTTATACTTTGGTGAAGCCTTTATTTGTAAATGATGGGATAAAGCCTTTAGCCACTTCCAACCCCTATTAAACTTCAGAGAATTCATACTGGACACAAGGCTTATAAAAATGCACTAGGTGGCAAAATGTTTTGACATCAAGTCATGCATACAGGAGAGCAACCATATAAAAGTAGTGTATATAAAAAGCGTTTTAGTCATCAGAGATGCCTTAACCAATATGAGAGACATCCATCTTTAGAAAAACTGTGCATATATAGAGACTAGCAATATATTTACCTATATTCAAAATACACCCATAATTTTAAAGCCCTTTTTTCAATATTCCTGTCTTATGTGGCATATGAGAATTCACAGTATCAAAAAGATTGAAAGAAAAATTGTAGCATATCATGTAGGTTGACCTACAGCCTTAGTATACACCAGGGGAATTCACAGTGGGGTGCATTTCTACATCATTAGAGAATGAATGACTTTTGTGAAATAATACAGTTCTCCTAACCCCAAAGAATTTATATGTGAGAGTGGCTTGAAACATGTAAATGTTCATGAAATTGTGTAATTGAAAAAGAGTATCCAAATATCATAACTTTGAATAGGGAGTTAATGATAGGTTTCAGGCATTGCTCTAAATTGGAATATTAGCGATTCATGCAAAGTTTTATAAAACACCAACCATTGCTTTTGAGTTTGTTTCAAAATGTCAAGGGCATAGATGTCTAGATATGTATAATTACTCAGAATATAAACTATAGTATTTTGAGAGCATTTGCAATATTTTGAGAAGGAAATATGAAACTGATTTCAGTCTTTCATCAGTTAATGCTACTATGTTTTTCTTCCTGGTTTGAGTCAAATCAATGGGGTGATTGTTGGTTCCTTAACAACCTGTGAACTCTTGTATATTAGGTGAGCTTCAGTCATAATTACATTTGTATATAAGAATGAGGACACTATCGTGCAGTGTATTGAAAAGCCTAAATGAATTTGCTGGTTTTAGGTTACTCAGAATTTTATTGTATGTTACAATAAAAAGTTATGCTATTTTGCATTTTAGTAAGACATAGAAATATTCATTTTAAGTAGTTTTCTAAAGCTCCATTTAAAGAAATGTCAATGTATTAAAATTCTGGTGTATCTTCATGATAGTCCTAGTTGAATATTAGTTGATGTGGTTGGAATAAAAAAGCCATCTGCAATATATGAGGGAATATAGACAGTTTATCCCTCAGTGCATAGCATTGTTGTATGTCCACATTTGCTCACCAGTTAACCTCCAGTGAGAAAAACAAAGAAAATGGGATCATAATGTACAAGAACAGTAACACTCCGCCAATGTTTGCAATGATTGTGTTGATAAATAGTAATGCAATTGTATTGTGATTCTTTCTGTAGATGTGTTTATTTATATTTTTTATTAATAAAGGTGAATGTACTAAAACATGTTTATGTCTTTGACATTACTAAGGTTTACAGATAACAACGTGTTATTTGGTAGTGTATTGCAAATACGGCATTAGCAGTTTCTTTTCATGATATCCTTAGATATTATATAAAGTGAAAAATTTCCTGTTGTTTCCATATTCTATTATAGTTAATGGACCATTCTAATAACTACAATAATAATATGTGTTTTTTTGAGTTCGGCAAAGCTGCTTTACAATATTGCTGTGGTGGCATTTATTTTCTGTAGCTAGGAGCCTTGAAATGGCACTGGCTTTTTCTGCAATTTCACACAGTAGACAGCATCTCACAGAGTCACAGTTAAATGTCCCTTCTTCACCTGGTTACTGGCAGCTGCTTTGAGCAACACTCTCCTTCCATCTCATGCCTTTCACCAGACATATCCATTATATAAGATCTCCAAACACTTTACCAAGGTCTTGGTTTTTTGGTTCATTTTGAACAATCTAAACTTAGCTCAAGAACCCCACAGTTCTATCCACATGAACCCTAATGAAATCTCATGTCCTGGGGTCTCCTACAGTCAACCAGAGCCTGGCTTCATCCTCAAATGTAGCTGTTACAAGCCTGCTGAGTACGTCTCCCAAGGTCTGTGTGGAATAAAATTGTCTGTTTCAATTTGTTTCGTGGTCTTTTATATAAGTGCCACTCACAATGCAGAACCAGGATGAACTGCTTAACAGATGCTAATATTTTAATTTAATTTTTTAAATTTCTCTTAAGATTTTATTTATTTTTAGAGGGGAAGGAGAGAAGGAGAAAAACATCAATGTATGGTTGCCTCTAGTGCATTCTCTGCTGGGAATTGGCCTGCAGGGAACTGGCTTACAATCCAGGCATGTGCCCCCACTGGGAATTGAACCGCAATCTTCTGGTTCACAGACCTGCGCTCAATCCACTGAGCTATACCAGCCAAGACAAATGCTAATATTTTTTAAATTTTTATTTGTTTGTTTGTTTGTTTGTTTGTTTGTTTATTGAGAGAAAGAAACAAAGTAAGAGAAGGAAAGATACATCAGTGTGTGGTTGCCCTACACGTGGTGCCACTTGGGACCTTGCCCACAATCCAGGAATGTGCTCTGACCAGGAGTCAAACTGGCCACCCTTTGGTTCACAGCCCATGCTAGCTACACTCACAGAGCTAAATCAGCAGAGGAAATGCTAATTTTTAAAGTGGAGACAACTCTTCTTTAACAACATTAACATCATTATTTTTAAGTACAAACAAGTGTAATTTCAAAATTCAGCTTAATATTTTTCATTGCTTCAATAAAGTTTATTTTTTATAGATTCACATTAACAAGCAATATATCTTTACTATTTTATACTGTTATCATTTCACAGGTGACAGGAATTAAAGGTGTTAGATCTAAATTTAATTTTAGAATCTAGGTGTGTAGTAATGACATGTACTTGCTTACTGAGTATTCATGATCTCCTTTCTTTAATGAAAAATGAAAGTGTTCATTCTTTATTCATTTTTTATATTTTTGAATTTATTGTGTTTAAGTACAGTTGTATTCACTTATCTCTACCTCCCTCCATTGATTCCACCCTCCTTCGCTTTTGTCCATATGTCCTTTCTGGTTGTTACTGATAACCCTTCTACCTTTCCTCCTCATTATTGCCTCCCAAGTCCCCTCTGGTTACTGTCAGATTGTTCTTCATTTAAGTGTCACTCAGTTCTCTTCTTTCAGTTAGGACAAGGTTTCTCAACTTGATTTGGACCATCTCCCTCTGCTCATTTCTAAATATAGGGTAGAGCTGCTATGTTGCTTGGCCTTTGTAGAGTGGACTCATGTAGTGAGTGTCCTATAGAATCCACAAGCTTCCTGTTCACCTAAGCTGGGGGCTCCACTTGTGCCCTCCCTTACATTGTGAGCAGTGTGCACACTGCCATTGTAATTTAGCCTTGATTTCCTTTGTATTTTAATGAGATGGATTTACATCTGGGCCAGTCTACAATGAGGAGTAGCCACAACAGCTGACCTCAAACCCCGAGTACTGTGGCACACCAGCTGTACAGGAGTTGATCTCTCAAAGTTGGACTTACTTCAGTGTGACTCTGGTTACCAGTGAGGCTGCTTCTTCAGCTTGTTACTTGTGGAAGTGATTGGATGGTGCTATGATGTGAAGATGAGCCGTCTGCCAGATGTGCTAGCTTTGGGACATCCACCTGTGCTGCCACTTCTGTCTTGCTAGGTGACTTCACTATTAGACAGAAAAGGTCTTCAGGTGTCTGCTACTTTAGATTGTCTCAGAGGAGCCTAGGAGAAGCCAACCTGTGAAAAATGGCCTGCTGCTGTTGGCATCAGGCCAAAGGTCACATTGCAGGTGTTACAGACTATGGAGAAGTCAGGTGGCCTGTTTGATAGATATTAGAAAAGTCTGAAGTAGGATCAGGACAGGCCAGATATATGCAAAAGCTGCTGGAAAGAGCTTGGGTGAGCCTGCCATTCTGGTGGGGCAACATATCAGGAAATCAGCAGAACAGAGTTATGAGATGGGGCCAGGTAGTAGGAAACTCGTATATGGTGTCAACCCTACTGAGTCATGTGGTGGTGTTGGATTTCCTTGTGGGAAAGGAACAATTACCTCTGAAGCACATATATCTGGGAGAAAGTTGCCCTTCCTAGCTCTCACCATGATGCCACCCACTCATTTGCTCTCTGCATGTTCTGTTTTAATGATAAAATTTAACCATGACTTATAACCCTGCATAGATAATGTTTATTTTACCCAGACAGTTCTTATTTTATTTTTATTAATTTTCATTGATTGATTTTTTATAGATATAGAAAGGGATGGAGATAAGCAGGGAAACATTATTTGTAGTTCCACTCATTTTTATTTTTTACTAAATATTTTATTGCCTTATTCTACATGTCCAGAATTTCCCTCATTGCTCTGTATCCCTGGCCCTCTCACCAACTTTCACAGACAATCCCCACCCTATTTCCATGTCCTTGATTCTCTCCTACATGTTCCTTCACTAACTAGTGAAGCAACTGTTTATTCTTCTTTTCACCTTTATCCCTCTCCCCATCTCCTCAGCTTGCTCTCAGTCTTTCCCTTGTTACCATGTCTTTGGTTCAATTTTGCTTGATGTTTTGTTCATTAGATTCCTGGTATGGATGAGATCATATGGTATTTGCTTCTTACTGTTTAGCTTATTCTCGCTTAGCAAAATAGAAATAATAATATATTTGTTTGAGGTTGGAACACTCAGGAAAATTATT